TGTGCCCTCCCAACCAGCAGAAAAGAGGGGACTAACCTGTGGGCAAGGCCCTTCCACTTCTCAAAAGCCTTGGCTCACAGTCTGTTGGTAAGAACTGTACACATGACCCCCACCTGCCTGCACAGGGGGGCTGAGAAGTGCTTGCTCTGGCTGGGCCACTTCCCAGCCACAACTCTGTTACCGTTATGCCTTTTTATGGACCACAAGCCATCGCCTCTGATGCTCTCTTGTTTCACTGTCCTAGACCTTTCTTTGTGGCCCCCTGTCCTCCAGAGTAGCTGAGAGCATCCTCAGCCACATACTCTAATCCATCTGTACCCTTGGCGGCAGTTCCCTTTCCATCTGTATAGACAATTTTTCTAAACCCATGGTCGGCAGAGTGAGCTCTTCCACAAAATACCAAGGCCTGGGTGAGTCTATTTTGAAGAGGTGACCTTAGAAGAAGTTTAAGTTTAAAAAATTTGGCTCTCGAAAGAAGTTTCTATCGTTGTACTGTTGATATTTGCCTCTGTTGACTAATGAGTTTGCCGACCACTGTTCTAAACCTTTACTGCACTCAAATCCAATCATCCCCAGTTTTAAAAGATGGCCTGCCCTCCTAAACAGGACCACTTCAATCCTCTCAACACGGCCACTCTTTCCTCTCCTTCTGTCCCAGGAAGATGCATCCCTGCTTCTTTCTTGAGCCCACTCTTCTTCCTAATCTTTCTTAGCCTCATCTTGGGTCTGGTTTCATTAAGGATTTCTGCTTTCTCATAATTTCAATCTATCTCCATGTTAAAATGCGCCATCCTTGAGGATGCAAACATGCTTTCATTTTGTCTCAGGCTACTTAGTATTCCCCCTTCTTTTTTGCTCTTTAAACCAGATCTCTTAAAATACTAGTTCATGCTTACCCATCATGTCTTCACCTCCTGTCTGCTGTCTAACCTTTTGCGCTCCCAACAAAAGAGAGCACACTAAGCTGTGTGGAGGCCCTTATGCAGTCAACAGTTCATCAGCGTATATTTCCTGAGCTCCTCCTGTGCCGGCACAGGGGTGTCAGCAGTGCATAAAATAAGGCCTTTGCCCCCTTGGGGTTTACATTCTGGTACGGGAAAGTGGGGAGGGGCAATAGATGTTTGTTAGACATGTCTATGATATATATGCTAAAGAGAAAACTCAATCAGAATGGGGAGTTAGGAGGATACAGATATTTTAAGCAGAGTGATCAGGAAAGGCATCTCTGATAATTATTTGTGCAGGGACCTGACGCAAGTGAGGAAGCTCTTCATATGAGGAAGAGCAATTCAGGCAAGGGAACAGCACGTACTAAGGCTCTGAGGCAGGAGCATATCCACACACGTGCCCAAAGGACAGGAAAAGGGCCACTGTGCCTGGAGATGAACAGGGGAAGGAGTAGGAGTGCCAGGTGAGACCAGAGGCAGCCAGTGCAGTATCCAGAGGACCTTCAAGGCTGTGTTGAAGTTCCTGATATAATAAAACTGGGCCGTGGGAGGGATTTAAACCAGAGGAATGACATGATTTGGCTTGTGTTTTAAGGAGATAACTGACTGCTCTATGCAAAATAGACCCAAGGAAGCAGAGTGATCAGCTAAGGGAATCATCCAGACAGGAGATTATGGTCATCTGAGCTGGGAGGTGTCTGTGGAAGTGATGAAAAGTGACTCCATTCTGGGAATGTTTCTAAGAGCTGACAGGCTGAGTAGTGCTGGAACCTTCCATCCTTCCAGTGAAATTTCCTCTCCATTCTTTTCCTTCCTTATGGCCCAAGAAGCTGGCCCATACAGACTACATTAGCACTGGCTTCCCTTTGCGTTTGCCCATGAGAGGGTTTGCCCCAATAAAATGTTAAATCCTTGAGGACAAAAGTTGTCATATTCCTATTTCTGTTACCATGAAATGAAGTAGGTAGGGTTTGCTACAGTTTTGTCAATGAATGTTATAATGTAGTGAAGCCTCTTGGGTCCTTAAGAATTGCCTAAATTATTCTTGATTGGAAAGATTAAAAGTAGGATGTGTGTGTGTGTGTGTGTGTGTGTGTGTGTGTGTGTATGCGCGCGCGTGCATGCGTGCGCAAGCGCGCACTTCTCCATCCATCTTAGTGTTTATATGTATAAGTTTCACCTTAATGGATAATTCAATTTAATTCCCTGGGATCAAAGAGACTTTTAAGAAAAAGTTGAGTACTGTTTTCTTATTACTCATTGTTCTTGCAAAACTATCTAAACAACAATTTGTTGATTTTACCAATTGTTTTTGAACTGGAAGAAATATTATTTGTTCAGTTTTTCAAGAACATAAATTTTTACCAATAAAGATGATGCCAGTAACCTTTTTCCAGTAACTTGAAAGGGGGATGGTGATTTATTAGTTACCTGTTAAGTGACTTTTATATGCATGACATTTTAATAGCACTTATTCCCATTATATTTGATTGTATACATTTACAAGATTATCAGTGTGATTGTTTTCCTAACAATTTTTGTTGTTGTTTTAATACTGCATTTTGTTATTGGTGTTTTCTGCTGGTCTAAAGAATATTTTATCATCACATATTTTTAGTTGTGCTTATAATTTGGTGACTTGCCCTCTTCTTTTCTTCTTTTTTTAACCTTGACTTATTTCTGTTTTTCCTTTGGGCAAAACCTTAAACAGTAGGCTGGACAGCCTTGAGGTATAGTTTTAATAAAAGCTTTGCTGAGTAATCATTTGGTATAAAATCCCTACCAAATCCATTAGTGGAAAAAGGAAGTAATATCTTTTCAAGGTTAACTTTCTTTGTGGTTGCTCCCATGAATAACACACACACACACACACACACACACACACACACACACACACACATACACACACTGAATACATTTAACTATTGCTTGGATTCAACTGTATTTGATATCCATGTTTCTTAAAAGGAGAACAAAAATTCCATAAGGTTAAAAGAGCATGTTGTCAAAAATTTTACTTATTAAAGATAAATTAAAACCATAGAGTTTTGTTTATGTAAAATTATACCAAATTTTCCAGGAAAATGTCCAGGAATATCCCATTGATTAGATAATTGGTTGATATTTTTTAACTAAAAAGGCATACCCTTTTTCTTCTTTTTATCCTCTTTTAAAAATGTTGACATTATTAAATATTCTCACAATCTAAGTACATGTTTTGCTTGGAGATAAACTTTATATATTTTAAAGCAATAATTTATTTTGTGGGTTTTAAAATTAATCTGATAATTTTATTTGAAAACTGAATAAGCACTTGACTACACTGAAGCAAGGGTGTTGTTGAAATCTATGGGGTGTGTAGCAGCTATAAATTCAAGAACTAGTTTTTCAAGGCATACCACCAGTTACTGTCTATACAATCCCTTTCACCTTTACTCAGGTCTATTAACAGGCAAATTAAGACTCTCTTTGGAGTATTATTTATTACTAGTGACCTGGTGCACTGATTTGTGCACATTGAAAGGGAATTAATTAGAAGGTAGCTGGTGGGGTGGGACTGGGTGGACATACCCTGGAGCCAACCTCCCAAGGTTGGCCACACCTGGGGTGGCACTGTGGCTCAAAGGGCATCTGCGGAGTGAGCAGAGTTCCTCCAGCAGGTAGGGTCCTGGGCCTGGCCTGTGGAGATTGGGCCGAAACTGTCTCCCCAACATCGCTGAAGGGGTCCTGGAGTTCGAGAGGGCATTCTGCAAAGTTGCTGTCATACAGGGTGTAAAATGCAAACAAAAGTGTGCAATAAACCAGATTCAGGGTAACAGTGCCCCAGCAACTGCATAACTCACTGCCGAAGGTGGAATCGCCTGGCCTTGCGAGGAATCGGGCTCCCTCCTCTCTGGTTTTGGGGTGCATCACCCAAGAACCATCACTTCCAAATCCCTGCAGCTCAGCAGCTCCTGTGTTGAGCATCTGCCCCCTGGTAGTCAGTGTGTGTCATAGATACTGGTCAGATGGACACAACATATTAGCCTTTTATATAGAGAGATTCTTTTCCACTTGGAAGATCACAATCATAATGATGGTTGTGAAACTGTGAAATAATGAGTAACAAGCATTGACTTAATAATATATGTTTCTGAAAGTTTCCTAAACTTTCTATGAAAGGGATAATTTAATTTAAGCCTCCACCTTCCTAGGAAAGATGGTGATAATATTCTCTGAGATCCCTGTGCAGAGTATAGGAGAGGGAGAGCACTGAAAAACAATTGGTTCAGACACCATCATTTTTTGGCTGTGTCTTCCTGTGGTGGAAGGGAAGAGAGCTCTCTGGGGTCCTTTTAGGATACTAATTCTTGAGGACTCTTCGCTCATGGCCTAATCACCTCCCAATAGCTCCACCTCCTAATACACATTTGGATTAGTATTTTAACATGAATTTTGGAGGGAGACAAACATTCAGTCTATTGTAACTATCACTGTGGTAAATGGATTAGAAGAAAGAAATGGATGTATGAGCTGTAACAGGTTTGTATGTAGGGAAAGAAGAAGACACTAACCTTAGACTTTCAAAATGAGTGATTAGCATTGTGCATATACAAATCCAGAATTGCTCTTTGGTTTCTGAAAAGTTTATAAGGAAAATATAGGAATGCAAAACTTAAAAAACTGGTACAGATTAAATGTGATCTACGATATTATTTATATAATAATTAAATAGCTAATAGTCTTCCAAAAGAAGGATTATAGATGAGATCTTTTACTTTCTTTAGTTAAGAGAAATATGTCCTATTTTTTCTAATTCTTTAATTCAGATCCCTGTATGACATTGTATGAGGCCCAGAGATGTGTTATTCTTTGGTTCTTGTATCCCAGGACTGCTGATACAGTGATGTGAGGAGTTCAAACACAAAACTCGTTGAAAATTAAACCATTGCCTTCTGCATTTGATCCAACATACTATATATTTAGAAATGTACATATATAAGATATACATAATTATTCAGAGTTACTAATAATCTTACTCTATTATTTCATAAGTATTTTTATTATTTGCAGGTTCGGTGGATGATGTACTGGATTGTTTTTGCTCTGTACACTGTGATTGAAACAGTAGCAGATCAGACAGTTGCTTGGTAAGTTCTAGTATTGATATAGGACCAGATTTGTTATCAGGTATCCTGAGTTCTGATGCTGCTTTTGCTGTTAACTAAGTGAATCTAATCAAATGACCTAATTATCCAGTATCTCGTTTTCTTGATCTGGTTTCCCCATGAGAACATTACTTTCCTTACAGTCTCTCTGAAATAAAGGCAGCTCATTCTTCTCCCCAGGCCATGCCCTACCCATCCCCCACACATCTCCCAGGATCTGGAATAGAGAAATTGGTTCTCATTTTTTTTTTTCCACACTGATGTCTTCAGGCTATTTTTCCTTATTACTTCCTAAAAGACTCCTCTGTGGACACCCGCGGCACTCCTTCCCCATCCTTAAAACTCTCATCTATATTCAAACTGGGTGGCGTCCCTGGGGACATACAATGATCTCCAACTCTGTTCCAAACCTCTGAGATAAAATTAAAGCACGTTTATATCCTCAAGGATTTAACATTTTACTAAGGAGCAAATGCTTATGAGACAACTTGAATCTCCTTGTGCTGAATTTCAGGAGTGCATTTCTATCTAAACCTTGCCATCACATGGAAAAGTCCTCCTTTCGGAATCTGTAAACTTACTACCTTGCCAGAACCTTCAGCTGTCCTTGCGCTAACCCTCAGCCTAAATAAGCCAGTTGTCTACTTCTTTCGCAGGCTACTAAATGAGCTGAAAAAAATCAATCAGTTGCTCATATAGGTATCAATTTGAACTTCACTATTCCTTTTAGTTGCTTCTGGTCAGTTGCTACTTCCAATTCCCTCTTATACCTGCTTCAGACATTTATTGTTCTCTCCTTAATCAGTCTTCCTGACTTTGCTTTTCTCATCATATTCTCACGGCACATTAGGTCACATTGGATTGCTAGAAAAAAATTGAAGTCATCAAACTTCAGTTCTTAGCATCCTGCCCTTATTTATGAATTTCTCTGGACTGCATCTTCATCCATCTTTCTCTTCCTTTTTCTGTCTCATCGCTCATTCACTTACCTGGTATGTTTTTGATATAGAGGTTTGGGAGAGGGTTTTCTATTTATTTATTTTTAAATGTCCAAACACAGATTCCAAATCATGGCAGGCCTCTTGAGTCTCAAAGTTCTTTTTGTAAAGACTTCTCATTGTTTAATGATTGAAAATATGGCAGATATTATTTAAAAAAAAAAAAAAAAACTGACCCTGACCAGGTGGTTCACTTGGTTGGAGGTTCATATAACCAAAGGTTGCTGGCTCAATTCCCAGTCAGGGCGCATGCCTAGACTGCTGGTTTGATCCCTGATCAGGACGCAGAAAGGAAGCAACCAAGTGGTGTTTCTTTCTTTCTCTCTCTCTCTCTCTCTCTCTCTCTCTCTCTCTCTCTCTCTCTATCTATCTCCCCCACCCCTCTCCACTACACCCCTCACCCCCTCCCTCTCAAAAAGCAGCAAACAAACAAAACTGCTCAGGTACAGAATTTAAAAAAAAAAAACAACCACAAACAATGTAGGGAGCATTTACCACAAACAGTGAAACCAGACATTCCTCTGTGATTGCAGCATCGCAGGGACCTTCTGCTGGCATTCCTCACTGGATACCCATCTGCCTCCTCACAAGAGTCCAGGTTTTTCAGTCACCGTGTATCTTCATGACCACAGGATGTTGATTCCCTCATGCTATGTTAGTTAACTCGCTGTGGCAGCAAGTAATCCTAAAAGCATAAGAAGTTAGAAAAACAAATGTTTATTTTTTTGTTCAAACTACATGAAGGCAGATGGTTGCTGCTGCTTGGACTTGACTATTTCAAGTGTCTCTTTATGGGACTAAGGCTGAAGAAGCACGTGTCACAGCGGAAAGCAAACATTTAAAGCAAGAAAGAAGGTGGGGGTGTTGGGATGAGGGAGTCAAAGGGCATCACAAGCTTCTCCTTGCATGTGACTTGTCACACTCATTCTCTTTGCAAAAGCAGGTCACTGCTGGGAAAATGTACTCAGCCTGCAGGAAAGGCCTTGCAAAGACTCATGAAAAGCGGCCTGGGCCAGATCTAACCCTAACTCTCAGTCTACTACAATGTGAATTCCGTTTGTTTTGCAAGTGAATAGTTTATGTCTGCAAAGTGCTGGAATTCTGGCCAAATGAGACGGGAGGGGAAGTTTTCTGGGAGTTCTGAGAATGAGAAGATGTGTGTATGGACTAACATAGTGCACGTGTGGCCTATAAATATACGGTCTTGTGATTGGAGGTATCAGGAACTGCCATGCCTTCGGGCTCTGCAGACAGAGCGGGATACCTTAAGGCCTGGTTCAATGCTGTCACTGCCCTCTGGGCTGCCACTCTCAGTTGGCAGCTTCCCTGTGCTTGCTTACACTGAAGAATCTTCACTAGAAGGTGTGAATCTCTGTGGGGATCAGGTTGCTCTTTCCTCAACTGATATCTATATTTAACTAAATTAGTTTGTCATTCAAACACAGGTGTTTCTTCTATCTCTCAGTCTTACATGTGAAAATTTAACATAGTGACTGAACTTTTTAAGAAGTTTTTTTATTATGAGACAACTTGAATCTCCTTGTGCTGTATTTCAGGAGTGCATTTCTGGAATTTATTTTCATAGACTTTTGTTGTTATTGTTGTTGTTCAACTTTTTTCTTGTTAGGTTCCCCCTGTACTATGAACTTAAGATTGCTTTTGTCATATGGCTGCTCTCTCCCTATACCAAAGGAGCAAGTTTAATATATAGAAAATTCCTTCATCCACTTCTTTCTTCAAAGGAAAGGGTAAGATATTTAAATTGTTGCCATAAATAATTTTTTAGAAATATATATTATCAAATGCTTTATGCTATAAAAGTTTTGAAATGATTATATTATGGGGGAAATCCTTTTTTTTTTTTTTTTTTTTGCTTCTGGACACTGTACTTAAATATAATTAATATCTATGTTGTTTGTTCTCCCCTCTACCCCCAGGAGATTGATGATTATATTGTACAAGCAAAGGAACGAGGCTATGAGACGATGGTAAACTTTGGACGTCAAGGTTTAAACTTGGCAGCTACTGCCGCAGTTACTGCAGCAGTGAAGGTAATTTCTTATTTACAGTGTTTGTCCAAGGCACATTAAGTCAATGGATAAAGTAGGGTGGCTCTTTATTTCAGATCAGTATAAAATGTTGGCAGAATTTTGCTTCCTGTTTATTTTTTTTAATACTGGGAAAAACAAGTATGTAATGTTACAAGCATGTTCTGAAACTAAATATTTTGAAACTCTTAACCAATCACAAAATGAGAGCTAGTTAATAACTAAACCAGAAAATGTCATTTGTCTTAACTTTCCTACTTTAAAAACTTAAAATAGATTGAGTAAATCACCTTTAGTAAAGATGACCATTCTTTCTTTCCTTGTCTTTGGCATTCTCTCTCTCGGTGGCAATATCTTGATAGGATTTCTGGCTTACTTCTGCACCCCTACTTCAACCAATTTGAGGTAACTGATTATTCAAAATAAGGCATGGAAAACAATCTGTTCTTAAAACTTGAAATTTTACTTAGCCACTACTAATGTCATGTGTTGTGTTTTGCAAGCCAAGTTATCAAATGAATGCTTTCTGTGAAAACTTGCATTGTGGCTTTTGGATTCCTTTGCACGTAGTAATTAGTGTGGTTTATTTTAAATGTGATAGTATAATTGATTTTGGTGTGCAGTGTATGGAGAGAAAACAAGCTTCAAACTCCAAAAGTGCTGAGTGTGACTCTCTAAATAACCATCAGCAATTTGCTTAACTTTGGTATTCCTTAGTGGCTTCATGTATAAAACGGGGAAAATATACCCATCTGTGAGAGCATGTATAAAAGCACAGTGCTTATCAAAATACAATAGGAACCCAATAAACATAAATATCATGTATCTATCAAAATTCAATGGAAAATTTGAGTTTGTTGTTATTAACTTAAATGGAGACTAAATAGTATTTTAAGCTTTTGAGTTAGGCTTTTTCACCGTAGTTATCTTGAAATAAAACATCAAGGCTGTGGAAATAAATATTCTAGTGAAGTGGTGATTTTATATAATAGCAATGGTGAAGGGATGTAAAATGTCAAATGGGCTTTCTCTTCAAGGTGATCTTTGGCTGAAATGTCATAATTAATAGGATTAACAGGATGAAAAGTTGACATTATATATTAAAAGTTTTTCATTGATAATTAAGCAGAAACATTATGCAACAGTATACATATAAGTCAAGCCTGTTATTAATTATTATTGACTACTAGCACTTTAGTACAGTTTCCCTAATATTGGCTTCTGAAGGTTTTTTATTAGTAGAGATATAAGCAAATACCAAAATAGCAATATTTCCAGCTTGTTTAAGGACTATTTTTTCTGCTGAAACTGGTTTGGCTCAGTGGTAGAGTGTCGGTCTGCGGACTGGAGGGTCCCAGGTTCGATTCTGGTCAAGGGTATGTACATTGGTTGCGGGCACATCCCCGGTGGAGGGGTGTGCAGGAGGCAGCTGGTTGATGTTTCTCTCTCATCGACGTTTCTGGCTCTCTATCTCTCTCCCTTCCTCTCTGTAAAAAATCAATAATATATATATATTTTTTAAAAGGATTATTTTTTTCTTTTAGAAGAAGTACATATGCTTTTTATTTCTTGCTTAATGAAAATGCATTCCTGGTTCCTATATCTAACAAAAAAAAGTCACCCAGGAGATCCACCACTCAACAACTAGGAATTGTTATCTCACAGAAATACCTCTCTGTAGAAATTCTATAAAAGCAATTATATACCTATATTTCTGTCTTTCTTCTTTGTGATTCATTGTTTGTTTTTATTTATATATTTAAAGATAGGAAACAGCATAAAATCATCTAAGTGACCACTTAGGTAAACCGTTATCCCATAATTCGAATTCATTATGGAACTTGCCCTTTTTGTTTGTGATTTCATGATCCTTTTGTTATCAAGATCACTGTCTGTGAGGTAGCCCTTACCCTTCTCAGTGTGATGACAGCAAGGTTGGCTTCAATCATCCTGGATTTTATGCATTAGAAATACTCATTAAACATGCTGAGCATAACATCACAGTAACACTATTTGTCTCGAGTTGTACCGTGCCTATTTTAAAGTAGGTGAAATTAATTTCATCTCTGGAGATATCAAAGAAAGACATCATGATGGAAGAATCACTGAACCAGACAATTCATATCAAGGAATAAATTGAAGCTGAAATAAAAAAATAGGTCAAGTTTGAGGAGAAACTGCAAGAAAGCCAGGAGTAAGATTTGAAAATTGTTTAAAATTTTTACAACATGTAGTTTGTTAAAATATATCTTTTAGGCTAAAAATATTTGGACTCTTGGTGTGACCTTTTAATATTGGTAATGCTCTGATTAGGTTTCCTGGGTTGAACCACTTGAGTCTGTTAGAGATTAAAATAGGAATCTAACAGAGCATTTATTACACCATAAAGCAATTTTCTGAAAATGTTACTCAGCTCTATGACCTCATTACCAGGCATCTGTTCACAAGGTCAGTGTACGAGATTATTTTGGCTGAGCAAAGCATAAACATGTGAAGGACCTTCAAGGATTTTGCTGAGGGTGTTCAGTATTCCGTAGATTTTCACATGAAAAATGCAGGTGGCTTTTGTACAGATGAACAGCACTACTGCCGGATGAAGGACAAGTTAATAAGAATATTAGTCACATTAACCATCTCTTAGAATTTTCTCTGGCAGCCTTTGGTAAATTATTTAGCAGATATTATTTTCAAAAAATCGATTATCATAGGAATTAGAGCCTTACAGGTAAACTTGATGAGCTCTAATTGACTTCAAGTGTTCATGATTAGGTTAGAAATCCTGACATTTTGCTGTCTGTTCTAGTGTCTTTAGTTTGTGAAAAGATTTGAGGATATTCAGCTGCTTATTAGCAATTTTAAAAAGAAAGCAGTTGTTCAGACAATGGGAAAATAGCCTTGCTATATCCCTATTGTCTAGGAAGCAGAATGTTATAATGAACATGGAATTCTATAGCAGTCAACTTATCTGCCATTTTTAGCCCTGATGCTGCCACAAATTACCATGAGATTTTTGGGCAAATCATCTGCATTCATCTTTTTCTGTATAAATTTTCTTACCTGTAAAAACAGAGGGGCGAAACTAGATTTCTAAAACCTCTTATATCTCGAGTGTTTCTCAAGGGGGTTGATTTTGCCTTCCAAGGGACATCTGGCAGTGTCTGGAGACATTTCAGGTTGTTACAACTGAGGGAGGGGATGCTACTCCTAGCATCCAAGGGGTAGAGATCAGGGTGGCTACTTCATATCTTACATCGCACAGGAAAGTTTCTCTATAACAAAAAATTATCCAACCCAAAAGAGCAATAGTGCTGAAGCTGAGAAAGTATGATGAATCATATAAAGCTAAAAGGATATATAAATATGTATAGGTAGCTTTGGTGGTGGATTACAAATATTTTTTTCTCTTGTATTTCTGTTATAAGTGTTCTTTGATAAAAATGTTTTTTTCATCTTAAAACCACTTAAATAGGGGCGATCAAAAAAAATAAAAAATAAAAATAAATAAAACCACTTAAATATATTATTCACGTAATGCAAATACAATCAATTCTATTCTAGACTTGATCAGATTAACTGTTGAATGTCCATAGGAAAAACAGATTTCCCTAAAACCTGGGAACTTGCCTTCTCTGCATTACAGTATAGTATGTCAAGGATAACAGAGCTTACTGGCTGTTCATTGTTGAACGGTATGGTAAGAATTGTTCTGTAAAAGATTGTTGTAAGCTTATAAAGCATTATTGAAATTTTTATTATCCATAATATATACAATTAAAACTTCACTTATACCATCCATGACTAATTTTGCAATATTAAAGAAATTGTTGAGAAAAAGGGGAAAAAATCACTCATCCCATCTGCCTAAACATTATCCTGTTCATCTTTTGCATATTTTCCCTACTTATAACCATACTTCATACTTAGTAATCATGCTGTGCATATGAATTTGAAATCTGAGGTAGAGGGGAAGTATCTCCACTTATTTTATTACAAACATAATTTATTTCTTAATTGACTTTTTGTGCTAAAGACATAAAAATTAAAGGGAATAGGTCTGCATCTAGGTGTGATTATTTTTTTAATAAGGATTTTTCCCTGGATACTTACAACTTATATAATGTTTTCTGAGTTCACAATACTGCATTAATTTTATTTTTTCATATTAACTCTATTCTGGGCTCATCAGAAAATGTACAGTGGGAAAATATGATTTTTTGAAGTGATAATGGCTGTTGAAGTGTTGGGGGTCCTCAAAGGCACTGTATCGCTTCTACTTGCTTTTCCTGGCCTTTCTTGGAACCTTGAAGAGATTGATAATAATTAGAGCTATAGGGTTGGTTACTCAAGAGCTGCATTAAAATCTTTGCTGTAACTCTGAAACGGGTTTGGCTCAATGGATAGAGCATCGGCCTGTGGACTGAAAGGTCCCAGGTTCGATTCTGGTTAAGGGCATGTACCTTGGTTGTGGGCACATCCCCAGTAGGGGTTGTGCAAGAGGCAGCTAATCTATGTTTCTAACTCTCTGTCCCTCTCTCTTCCTCTCTGTAAAAAAAAAAAATCAGTAAAATATATTTTAAAACACACACACAACTATAGCTTTAAAAATAAATAAATAAATAAATAAATAAATAAATAAATAAATAAATAAATAAATAAAATCTTGCTGTAAGTAGATCACCCAGATACCTCAGGGTTGGTCCTTGCTTGCCTTTAATTTAAAGTTGAAACAAACCTCTGAAGGACGATATAGCCTACCAATGTAGATATCCATAGCAAAACTTGTAGTTTGCTACTGAATCTCTGCATAAAAACACCAGTGTTTATGTTTAAACAAGCTCCTATCTTGGAGAACTCAAGCAATCAAGAGTAAAAAAAAAGCCAAGACCGGTTTGGCTCAATGGATAGAGCGTCGGCTTGGGGACTGAGGGGTCCCGGGTTCGATTCCGGTCAAGGGCATGTACCTTGGTTGCGGGCATATCCCCAGTGGGGGGTGTGCAGGAGGCAGCTGATCGATGACTCTCTCTCATCGATGTTTCTAGCTCTCTATCTCTCTCCCTTCCTCTCTGTACAAAATCAATAAAAATATATTTAAAAAAAAAAAATGGCCAAGTAGCTTAGTTGGTTAGTGTCCTCCTGATATGCCAAGGTTGCAGGTTTGATCCCCGCATACAACCATCAATCAATGAATGCATAAATAAATGGAACAACAAATACATGTTCTCTTTCTCGTTCCCTCTCTCTCTCTCCCTCCCCTCCCTCTAGCCTTTTTGGTTTTAAGAGTGATGAAAAAGAAGAGGCATAAAAAGAATAGTTTATTATCTGCTCAGTATCTCAGTATCAGAACCATACCAGGTACATTAGGAAAATTGAAGAAGCCTAAGGTTTAATCATCTTACCTAGTTTCTTAAAAATCTTGTTTTGGAGTCAAAATATATACAGCACAACAGAACTAACAATAATGTGTGAGTTCATTTCTGCTTAGTAATTAGTTGATTATACTAATTACTTATACTGAGTGACTAGTTGATTATACCCAAACATACCAAAGTTTGTGGACGACATAAAGCTAGACTGATTCAGAGGCACTTTGACTCATTTGCATGCTGAGATGTACTTGCTGGAGTAGGAGGCTTTTGTGGGCATTACAGCCACCCTGGAAATTGCACCTGAGTTGAGTAGAGAGTAACATGGATGTGTATCCCTTTATCAGTTGTTCGGCAGTAGGTAAAAAGTCAAGACTTTCTAAGAGAGGGCACAGAAATACAAAGACATTGATAGTCCTGAAAAAACCAGGCATCTGTTTCAGAGAGCACTGGTCACTTTCTTTTAGTATCTGTCTGAAACCCTCAGTCACCGATATCTAAAGTCAATAAGTGACATCTGATTAGGAGGAAGAAAGGATAATGAATTAAACCATTTAAAACAGGAATGTTTTAAAGAATGTGTGGAGCCCAGTTACTTTTATTGAAGATATAGACCCTGTAATTAAATAATTCCTTTTCACAACTCAAAAAATTACGGCAGAACTGCAAAGCTTAAGTGGGATAAAAGGCATTTGGTTTTAACGTAATATATCACTAACTCAGAGTAGCTGAATCAAGACCATTTCCTTCAGGATAAAATACATGTTCGCAATGATGTTCAAAATGATGTTCGTATTGCCATACCTAGGCTTTGAAATTTAGAGACAACCCAGTATGGACAAATTTCTATGATAACTTTATAACTAGAGGCAGTCATAAATTGACATGTGTGAGAAGGAGAAAGAAGTGTAAAAATCCACCAGAAGAATATTTTTAATTCAGCTATACATAAGAAATGAGTCATCTATGTGCTATGCAAATTTTCGAAGTGAGTAAATTTAGAAGTCTTTTTTTCCCTTTCCAAAGCTTTATACTTTGAGGGGAAATATGGTTGTGTCGGAAAGGTTCAGAAATGCCCTTTCCGAGCCGTGCAATGATGTAATAATTGAACTTTCGGCAGTGGCGGAAATGTCCTGCATCTGTATTACAGTAGTCACTAGCTACATGTATCTGCTGAGCCTGTGAAATGTGCAATTAAGGGCCTAGATTTTTATTTTATTTCACTTAATTTATTTAAATTTAAATGCCCACATGTGTTCAGTGTCTACCATATTGTTAATATGACAAAATCAGATGGCATAGTAGTAGATATGCCTTGCGAGAAAGTGAATTCATTAACTGAAAGTCATTTGGTATACAAGGTTCTTAGGCTCTTACATTTTTTTTTTTTTACCCTGTTCTGGGTAGAGACATTACCACTTCTGACTCAGTTTATCTTACAATAGTACGTCTCTTACTTTAAAAATTTCTTCTAAATCATAAACGTAAGCCCCAAATGCTAGTTAGAAGAGAGAGCAACATTATTGGTGCCATTTACTCCAAGGGGAAGCTCATTATATGCTTCTTACCTTTTAAAATTAAATATAAAAATGAAATGTTTGAGATGGAATGTGCTGATATCTACAGTTCACTTTGAAGTGTATTCAAAAATTGTTGGATGGGTAGATAAATTATAGAAATGTGATAAAGAAAATAAAGCGAAATGCACGTTATATATGGGTGTTCACTCTATAATCATTTCAACTTTTCTGAAAGTTTCATAATAAAATGAATAAGCTTCACGAATCAAGTGTTGGGGGACATGCCCAATGTAAACACATTAAACATTTTGAACTGTACTTTCCTTTCCTGGATCTGTCGCTCTTTGTTCTCTAGAGCCAAGGAGCGATCACTGAACGACTGCGGAGTTTCAGCATGCACGACCTGACGGCCATCCCCGGGGAGGAGCACGTGAGGCAGAGAGCGCTCCAGCCCCCATCAGAAACAAAAAAGAGAAGTAAAGCAGCCTCCAGTGAGTCGGCAGGTGCGCTTCTTTGTTTTAATATATCATCCTTTCACAATGTGATTTTGAGTCGAGATGGGTAGTAAGATAATCCCTAGTAGCTCTGAATCGGGGTAGACAAATTTCCTTTTAAGCTTATATTTTTGAGTTTGACAGTTTACTGTAGTTAGTGCATGCCTTTTGTTGACTCTGGAGATAATCCAGCTAAGAAAGTAGCGGTAGCCTTTTATGCTGCCATGAATGTTTAGAAGCCCTGGGTGTGGTTACCCCTACTTCCCCGCCATCAGTACTAGTTCTGACCTGTGATCAATACTCTTTCTCCTTAAACTATAGTGACATCTAAGGAGTTTTATAGTTAAACATTCTTTACTTTTAAGTACTCTGAACAAATAAGGATATTGACTCACAAGATAAAAGGCTTTAAGTGGGTGACAAAAGATGACTCAATTTGAAAATCGGATTACTTCAATGGAAATGTGTTGAAATTACATGTATTTCTAGTTCAAGAACTAACTTGTAGGCATATTTTAATGTAAGCTATGAGCATGTCATAGTTGACATATCCAAAACTTTACTAAAAAATGTTATATTACACATAAATTAAAAGACATAGTTCCTTAGTCATTTTATTACATATAAGAAAGTTTTAGTTTAAGGCTCAGCTGAGAACTAAGATCTTCAGGACCACTTATTACTGTATTATTAAGTCCATAAAGTATAGGCCTACTTGATGATCTTGTTTTTTTAGGGGATTTCTTTTGAGGAAGATTAAAAATCATCCTTTATAATTGAAACCAATTTGACTCCGACCAGTTTGTTAGATCATCATTCCAATATGCCAAGATTGTGGGTTCAATAGCCGGTCAAGGCACATACAAGAATCAACCTAGTGAAAAATAAGTGAAACAACAAATCAATGTTTCTCTCTCTCTCTCTCTCTCTCTCTCTCTCTCTCTCTCTCTCTCTCTCTCTCTCTCTCTTTCTCCTTTGCTTTCCCCCTCACTCTCCCTTCCTTTCTCTGTCTAAAATCATAAATAAATATTTTAAAAATAATTAAACTGGCTTGAAAAATAAAATAACTATCTCTTCTTATAGAGGAATATAGTGAACTTTCTTCTGAGTTCTTAGAATGAATAACTTTACAAAGTTGGTGACTAATACCTGAGAAATAGTAATTAGGTTTGATCATTGATTAAGGTTGTAATATCTAAGAATGAGGAACCATTGAACTTTGAATCATCATTCTTAACACATAAATAATGTAAAAGTAGTTTCCAATATAGGCTTTTTCTTAATATGCCCCTAAAAATTAGATTTGCTGATTTTGTTGTTGTTAATCATCCTCACCCAAGGATATTTTTCCATGGATTTTTAGAGAAAGGGTAAGACAGAGATAAACATCCATGTAAGAGAAACATATCGATTGGTTGCCTCCTGTATTAGCCCCGACCAGGCCTGGACCGGGGAGGAGCTTTCAACCAAGATACGTGCCCTTGACCAGAATCGAACCCTGGACCCTGGTCTATCCATTGAGCCAAACCAGTTAGGGCCCTATTTTAATTATGGAGTCTGCTGTATTATTTAGCTGATTTGGATCAATTCTCTCAGTCTTTTATCAGCAATTTATTTATAATTTTATCTTAGAATTAGTAAAGAATTATATTTCAATTCTTTAAATAAAAATGGGATTATATATAGGAAAATCCTTAACACTACTTTTATGGTATTCATCTGTTAAATTTAAAATGGTGTGACTAAAATATTTTAAGATAGTGAGGTGGTGCTATTTAGTTTTTTAATTAAAATTCAAACCATGAAGTTGAACTAACTGAAGATTTATAAAATACAAAGTAAGTGGTAGCAGTGCTAAAAAAGTACTTGTTCGGTGATGAGATTAGTATTTTAATATGCATTACTTGCCCAACTTTCCTACAGAATAGTGTATATGATGAGTTTTCTTCCCTAAAGAAAAAATTTAACCAAAACTTTCTCTCTTGACAATGTTTCTAATAAAGTAGTATGGTTCCAGGAGAGGAATGGGGGAAAAGAAGATAGCAATAGACAAACAACAGAAATATAAGTCTGGATATACATGGATATTTATCAAATGAGAAAGGTGGCTCTTCAGATTGGTCTGAGAAAGGCAGATTAAAAAATGGTGTTAGGATAACTGATAGACTTAGGAGGAGGGAGAGGGAATGAAGTTATACCTCTACCTGAAACCTTTGATCAAAATAAATTCTGAAAAGATTAAGACTGAAATGTAAGAAATTAAGTAATATACTAGGATATTCCTGTGTATATTTTGATACCCCTAGGATATATCAAGCTTCTTAAGCATGACATTGAAATCAGAAAACATAAGGGAAAAGTTTGAGAGATTTTTCTACCAGATTGGGGGGAGGGAGCATGAGAAGAGAAGAACCCTTACAAGCCAATTATTGGCAACTTTGTCAAAGAATATAGCTGACCAATCAATACATGAAAAGGATATTTAGCCTCAGATAGTAATTTTTGCTTACCAGATTGGCAAAAAGTTTTAATTAATAGTGTTCTGTGTTGTAACAATTCTAGTTGTGTGTTGTTGTGTAATAATAAACCGCTTCCAAATAGTGATTTAAAAATATATATATTTTTTGCCGAAACCGGTGTGGCTCAGTGGATAGAGCGTCGGTCTGCGGACTGAAGGGTCCCGGGTTCGATTCCGGTTAAGGGCATGTACCTTGGTTGCGAGCACATCCCCGGTAGGGGGTGTGCAAGAGGCAGCTGGTCAATGTTTCTTTCTCATCGACGTTTCTAGCTCTCTATCTCTCTCCCTTCCTCCTCTCTGTAAAATATCAATAAAATATATATATAAAAAAATATATATATATATATATTTTTTTTTATTATTTCAGAGAGGAAGGGAGAGGGAGATAGAAACATCAATGATGAGAGAGAATCATTGATTGGCTGCCACCTGTGGGTCCCACACTGGGGGATTGAGCTTGCAACCCAAGCATGTGCCCTGACTGGAAATTGAATCCTGACTGTTGGATTCATAGGTCAACACTCAGTCACTGAATCACATGGGCTGAGCACCAATTAGTAATTTAAAAAACAACACCATGGTCATTTTTATTGTTCATAGTCTGGGGGGTGACTGAGCTCAGGAAGGCAGTTTTTGTTCAGGGTCTTGTGCATCTATAGTCAAACAGCAGCTGGGGCTGGCAGCTGAAGGCTCTCAGAGCCAGTGTCCCAAGAGAAAAGTGTCAGAATCCGTGGACGTGTGCTAAAACCACCACAGCACGCATGCTAGGAAACAAACACTCTCATATGCTTTTTATGAGAGTTTGAAGTGGAATAATCCTTTTGGATGCCAGTCTGGCAATAACTATAAAAATTTAATTCCTTTAACTCAACTTCTAGAAGAAGAAACTTCTAGAAATATGCCATAAGGAAATAATCAGACAAGTGTTCAGAGATGTATGTCCATCTCGTTGTTTGTAGTAACAAAATGTTGGAACAAATCAAACACCTATGAGAAATGTTTAAGCAAAAAGGTGGTTTATTAGCCATGAAAAATAATAAGGTCAGTCTATACTTACTGAAATGAAAATATAATCAGGTTGTGGGGGATTAAACAATAACAGCTAAACTGTGTGTATTATAATCCTGCACCAATTGTGCTATATTATTGTGTTATATATTGTGTTATAATATAATATATTGTGTTATAATATAGAGACACAATAGATAATAGAGAGTTTGAGAGGATATTACTAAAATATTAACAGCGCTTAGCTCTAAGTAATAGAACTTTAGTGATTTTTTAAAAAATCAACCTTTCACTCAAAATGAAAATAAAACAACAGCACTTTCCCTTTTGAAAATACTTAAGTACTAAATTTAAAAATATATATATTTTATTGATATTTTACAGAGAGGAAGGGAGAGGGAGAGAAAGCTAGAAACATGAATCAGCTGCCTCCTGCACACCCCCCACCAGGGATGTGCCCACAACCAAGATACATGCCCTTGACCGGCATCAAACCTGGGACCTCTCAGTCCGCAGGATGACGCTCTACCACTGAGCCAAACTGGTTTCCACAAAGTACTAAATTTTTATCATGCATTCTTTCCTGTTTTGTTTACTTCCAAAATTCTGTTTTAAAATTTTGTTTACTTCCTCAACCACACACAAATTGCTTACTAGTTTTTAAGTGTGAAAATTACATTCACATTGCAAAGTCTTTACTGGTTCATGTGATCAATACATTTACCTCAGCAGCTCTGTTTGTGCACACAAGCAAACTTAAATTATCTGCAAAGGTGGGTCCCCTTTGCAAATTCACCATGGCCTGCTCTAGGCAGTTTGAGGTTAGCTGATCAAAAGAAGTCCTCCTGCTTTGATGAAATTATTCAAATCTTTATGTTGTTACCACGGGGAAAAAAGATCTTCCTCCAAATGCTTTCCTGTAAGAAAATGGATGCCTTGAACATGATTGTTCACGTCCCTTGAAAGAACATCATATTTTGACAGGTGGAAATATTTTCTCTGCAAAGAACCTGCTGCTCCCATATTAGTTACAAGTGGTTCAACATTCACTTTCAATACCAGTGCATAAAGAGAGTCCTTGTTTGTTTTGGGTGCTTTACATATTTATTTAATCCTTAAGATGACTATGCAGGTTAAGTATAATACTTTATCCTTATTTTATAGATGAATAAACTGAGATTTAAAGGAGATTATTTATTAAAGGCTATATACTTAGTGACAGAAATGGGGTATCTAAGGTTCCTAAGCAGATGTTTATTTTAAAAAAAAACAAAAAACAACAAAAAAACAAAACAAAACAAAAAACCTTGTGATATGCTTTTATTTATTTTAGAGAGGAAGGGAGAGGGAGAGATAGAAACATCAGTGATGAAAGAGAATCATTGATCAGCTGCCTCCTGCACGCCCCCTGACTGGGGATCAAGCCCACAACCCCAGACATGTACTCCTGACTGGAATCTAACCCGGGACTCTTCAGTCTGCAGGCTGACGCTCTATCCACCAAGCCAAATCAACTAGAGCTTTTTAAAAAATCTTTATTGTTGA